CTTGAGTTACTACTGTATGATTAGGCTTCAGTAAAAACTGGCATTGGTTTCTTTATAAACAAGTTTTCACTTTTTCTAAGAAAATGATGTGACCTAGTTAAAGGAATCTTTTCCGGAACTGGTGCATGGTTTCATAACTTTTCTTGCCAAGATCTTTATTGGTAACATTTCTTTGTTTTCAACTCAACAGTTCCCAAAACAGCCGAGAATGACACATTTACTGACTATTTACTGGGAATAAATAAACAAAAAAGAGGCCAGAGTATTTCAGGAAAACCTGAAGGCGAAACAACAAACCTGGGCAGTCACTAGGTCACTTTGAATAAATAACTCATCGCACGGGTTCTTAAAATACTTGCTGTGAAAATTGGGTTACTCTTTATTTTAAAGGGCTCCTGTCATGCAAAAACAACTTTTGGAAGCTGTTTGGACAGAAGTGTGTGTAGTATAATGTGTACACAGCCTCATTAGAGTGGTAAACACAGAGTGGTAAAACAAAGCCTTAAAATGTCAGCCAAATGTCAGCGATTTTGAGGCCAACCACTACGTGACATAGAAGTGCAGTTATTAAATTGTTTTCGATTGAAAATCGCGTATTATCATATTTTAGTGTGGACATATATTACCATGTCCATAAAACAGGATTTGCAAAGAAACTGGGATTAAAAGATCTGTTCCATCTGTAGCTATTATAGATGCAAAATACAGTTAGCTTACGGTTTATTATATACCTCATTTTTTTTAACAAGGTTTTCAGTTCAGTTGATGACTTGACACATCAGTATTTTTTAATTTTTTTTTTTGTTATTCTAGGCAATAGGAACAATAGGAACGTTTATAAATAAAAACGTACACTAGTTCGTAGTGTATTGCAGCTATAATAATAATAAAAATATTAACACTGAAATCTCATATGCTGCAATCCTATGCTGGTAGGCTATCTGTGGAACAAATAAATTCCTACATTTTGAAAATAAACATCTACTGTACATGTGAACTTAATAGACATAAATTGACCACTTCAAATAAACATATTTGTACTTCAGTAAACATAAATAAACCATAACACTGCCTTTGTTGTTTTTATATGTCTTTCGGAACCAGTAGATTTTGTTTGCTGGAAGGATTCAGCAAAGGATTGTTGTTTTTTGGGAGGACTTTATTACCTTCTCTGCTATCCTGCCTTCAGACAGTGATATTGCTGGGTAATGGCGCCACAATTGTGCAGTCACGTTGGAAGTGTTTCCGTTTCAGTAGGCTATAGCAGCCTGATCTCACAAGGAAACATAAGTATTTTACGTTTGGTCAGTTTAGTGGCTTATTTGTACGAATTTGCACGAAAATGTAGGATTTTAAAAAAGAGGTGTGGCACCCAACCCCACCCCTAACCATAACCATCATTGGGTGATGAATTAGATTGTACAAATTCATACGAATTAGCCATTAAATCAAAAAGTTACGAATTGCCGTGAGATTGCGTTGCCAATACATCAAACCAAAATGTCGCCACACCGCGTATTTGAAAGACAAAGTTCTCGTACTGTTGCCTCACTACACTGCCGCTTCCCATGTTAAAGTGTGGAATGATGGTTAAGCGCCCCCTAACTTTAAAGCATATGATTCTATATATACTTGTGGGGAGAGTTTCCTCATCTCAGCTTGTAGACTTACAGGCACACACAGTCATTTCGGAGAGAAATAAAATGCACATAAATTATTTAAACGTAAAACCGTTAAACTCACAAGCATGTATTGAATGGTGGATGTTGTACCGAACGGTTCAATATTATATTGAGAATTGTGGCATCCCTAGAAGCTATGTTTCCATCCACCTATTTTTAGGCGTATTTTGAATATGCACATAAAAAATGGTTGATGGAAACGCCAAGATGCGCATAAAAAACATATATGTGTATAACTGAGTGGGATTAACATTTTTTTTTTTTTTTTGCATTTACTGCATGTCAGTATTGTCTTCTGAGGCGCAAGTCGTTTATTAAATAAAGAAAAGATTGACACAGCTTGTCTTATCGCAGCATATTTTGATTTTACTGTTGATATTTTACTTTAGATAATCAGAAAGTGATGATTTTGTTCTAATGGTATGTTTCCACTGAGTGGTACAGTTCGGTACAGGTCACCTTTATCAGGCCTGCAAAAGGGTAACAATAGTGTGCGAAATAGCCTACTGTAACATCTGCAATTATAAAAAAATAAATAAATGCAACACATATGAACACACACAGACCCTTACAGTCTACCATATGTTACCAATTACAGAAAAACTACACAGCATTTAGTCCTTATTTGGGTTCAAAAACAACACACAACATTTAGCCTACAGTAACATCTCATCTGTATCTTCACCAGCACATGTAACATCTTGTTAGAAAGTGATTCCGTCATTCGAGTTCATAATAGTCCAAAAGGTGATGATAATAGTTAAACATTGCAGTTTGATCATGTTGGTTGCTGAAAGAATCATTTGCTCCTTTGTTTTTTCTGGTTTCTCTTTCTACTTTTTTTCTCTGTAAACCAATAGCGTTCAGCTGCGCGTCTTGCTCTGCCCTTTGGTACCCTTTTGTTGTGTTAGGTACCCTTTCGAAAGGATACCCAAAAAAGTGGTATAGTTCACTTTTTGGTACCTTTTGACAGTGGAAACGGCCATAAAAGCATACCGAACCGTACCGTACCACTCGATGGAAACAGGCCATTAGGCAACCACGATTTTTTTTACAGTGTATGGAATTCATAACTGCTTGAATCATCGCAGTTGCATAGTGTCAGCTATAAAAGAGGATGCTTTAATCACACGACATAAGTCCAGGATTGTAGATGAAATTTTTTTTTCACAGTAACATAACGGATCATATATGCAGCATATAATTACTTGTATGGTAGGTTTCCTGTCATATTTTCCACAAGTAGATGTGTAAAAACCGCAAAACATGTTAAAAATGCATGTGTTTGCTCTTATTCAAAGATACTTTTCTATGTCTCCGGTTTTCAAACTAAGAGTCCCACAAACATAGAAAGTTTAATATAAACCTAGATAACCTAAAAAATAAGGGAGGAAAATGATCATTGTTGTAATCTCACTAGAAAACATTGTGAATAATCAAAAGCTGCCTGGGGTATACAAGGTCTGACTGATCTAAAACTCTTTTTATTCGACTTGGCCACGCTATACTTCAGATTTTTCACCTTCAATGGTCTTGTTTAAGACATTCTGTTCACAACATAAGAAACTACATTTTAGTAAACTTTAAGGTTAGTGTTAGAACAGCAGGCTGATTTTCAGAGTTGTGCCAAGTGCACACTGTGATTTTGGCCATGTGAAAAAAAAAATTGGAAACATTCTAAAAAAAAAAATTTGGTCCCTGGTGAGTATTCTGGATCACAATTTTGACATTCACTGACAGCCAACCGATTAATGGCTTTTGCAATCAAATTTTTTCTCTGATAAAATTCTGGCCATGTCAGAAAACATGAACATTCATGAAGTGTGGCTTTGTTTCTTGACCTTTTATTGAGTTTATTTTTGCAATCTGTACATAAATCTGAGATCATTCATTCCTCATTTTAAACTAATGAAAATGGAATAAATTGTCTTTTTTTCCCCATCTGGTGTAGTTTTCATACTACGATACAAAAACAGTACAGGACAGTTTCCTAAACAACTTGATACTTTTTCTCTGTTAATGTCTCATGACCCAACCATTGTTATAAGCATTAAAAAAACAATCATTTGAAATTTTTATTTCTAATTTATAAAAATACTCAGGGTTATGAGACCTTTATACTCTACAAATAGCCTTTTATTGACTTTTTAGTAGACAAAATCAAGATATTGTATAAAACAGAATTTTGTTAAGTTTGGTTAAGTTTTCAGAATCAGACATCTCCATAATTCAATTTGAAAATGAAAATAAATAGAAAGAAATGCATAAATACAAAATATAGTAAGCTTTAAATTTACTTACCAATTTACTTTTTAAATCATCCTTTTTAAAAGTTAATGTCATTCAGCAAAAAAAAAAAAAAAAAATTTCAAATGATAATGTATAATTTTCATTTTCAACAACTCAACAACAACTCAAATTTGTTACCCATTATCACAACTGGTAAGCTGCTACAAAACCAATAGGTAAAGTCATAAAGACTAAGTGGTTTTTGCAAACAATGACCTACATTTTAGCCTTTAAACATACCATCATGCATTTATTACCTCCTTAGAGTTATCGTTAAACGAATCCATTTGTGTGATCAATCCAAACTCATTTGAACATATTTTCTGTAGCTTCTATTAATATTTCATTTGGTCCATCGTGACCAAATAGAGTGACATGTGAGACAACTCAAATGAACAATGAGGGATGGTTGACAGAAACTGACCCCAGATTGAGACAGGCGTAAAACACATGTCAAACCCATTAGATGTCGCAATCCGGCTGGGTCAAAGCCCAATTTACATCAGAGGAAAATTTAAAAACCCTTTAAGCAAGCTCTCAGAAATGGAACTGGTTTGCAGAAAACCAAATCCAAACAGCTCTCAGCAAATTAAGTGTCGAGAAACTGGAGAGACTTTGAGAAGGGCGAAAAACGTGAGCATGTGGAAGCAATTACTGGCTGCAGGCGGGATCGGTTAGCTTTCGGCTTGCCGGGTTCTTCCACGCTGCTGAGCCACCAGCCAAGTCTGTTTCCACAATCAACCAAGCCCATAATACTACCTCCTCGACTGACTGCAAAACTCTCTGGAGCTTCATAATGCTGCTTTCTCTATGCATATCAGGTTTGGAAATGAAAAAAAAAAAAGTGTGAACCTTGATTCAAACAGTGACTCGCTTCGCCGAAACCGAAGGGGAATCCCACATGGAGTTGTAATGCAGTGCGAAGAGCTCGACTCTACATCTGGGAGGGGTCAGGAGGTTATTGATATTGTAAGACTGTGGGGACTGCTGGAAACGCATAAATAGCTGGAAGACACACAGTAATCTTGCAGTCTTCTTCTGAATGCCCGGGCACAGGTGACCTCCACTCAGCTCTTCTGCAGGAAACCTCATCTGCCTCTGCAAACCCTGTAAGTGTTTTATGTTTTATTCATGCTGCACAGTGCCGAATTACTTAGGTTTAATTTTGATCAATACAGCTTTATAGAATATACATTTAAACACTGTTTTACTATTTAAAACTTACAGACTAAATTCTAGTTTAAGTGTGGCAATGTCTAAATAACACTAATAATTAATGCCTAAAACGCTAATAATTAATATTAAATATAAATTGTAACAGTCTACACTAATTTAAATAATCATTTATTTAAATAATTAGATATATTTTTTAAATATTGTCATGTTTAGAATCACTTTTAACAAACTATGACATTTCATTTCCAGTCTGTTATTTGCTGAATATGCCATGTAACAGTGCCTGGAAAAAACAGACAGAATTTGGTTATCCTGACCTACATTCCTTCTTCCTTAGTCAGTGTATGACACAATTATATTAAATCACTCACAGAGGCAGCTTATGTAAAATCTTTCATTTCCACATGTTTCACCATTGTTACTTGGTTTAGTGAAAGGAGTGGTCCAAAATGTCCAAACCTGGTTACGGCATGTGTCCACATGCCCTGCATGGTAAAACGGTTATTGTTCCTTTGCAGAACCAACATGGAAACAATGACATCTCTGAGAGTGAACTGCTGGCTGACCATGACTCTGGCCCTGCTGAGTGGAGTCCCTGCAATGCCGGTGGATGTGGACCGCATGTGCACGGCCCCTTCCACGGCTAAGTACCGACTGACGTTTACTGGCCAGTGGACACAGACTGCCTTCCCCAAGCACTACCCTCTGTACAGGCCACCTGCTCAGTGGTCCCCTCTTATTGGTGAGTGGCTGCACTCTTAAAAATGAAGCTTCTTTATCAGCATTGATGGTTCTGTTAAAAATCTTAAAAATTTATGGATCATGAAGGTTCTATAGGGGAACAAAAATGGTTCTGTTAAATAACTTGATAGTTTCTGGTGTACTTAAGGATGTATACGAAAGAACTGAGTAGCAGAACATTTGTTGCTTTGCTTTTTTTTTTTCTCTGCACCATATGTTCAACCCAAGTCTTTGACATTGTCCCTGTCTCAAGGGGTTTACCAAGTAATTACAACTTCAACTCCTCCAAAAGGATGCCAAAGTTTGTTGATTTGCAGTCTTTATAATGAAGATTGCATAAGAGTTTTCCACAGAAGTGAATTTGCAGAAAATTATTTTGGGTTCTCAAAAAAATAAGTTACAAGTTTGAAGAACTTTTTAATAATCTTAAGAAATTTGTGTAGAACCTACGTACAACCATAGACACCAAAAAATTAGTGTATCTTTTAAATATGGCTGATCAGTGATTCTTGCAGGATTATTAAATAAAATCAAAATGCATCTATTTCCTATAGATTCATGTAAAAATACAAAGATTTAAGTAACAGGGATGCCAAAAGCAATCTTGGCTCTAATGGATGACCTTCAACAAATTCTGTCTAAAAACATGTACTAATTAATTTCCAGTAAAAATAAAAATTCTCCTATGAGCCACCGTACATTCACACACTGTTCCTATGGGTCTGAGCACAACAAATATGAAGGTGCTTGAATATCATGTTATGCACAAAAGCAGAAGTACACATCGAAAACTCATTTTCATTTCAGGAGTAACTCACAGTTCAGACTATCACCTCTGGCAAAGGAATGAGTACGCCAGTAATGGGGTGAGAGAGTTCTCTGAGAGAGCAGAGGCTTGGACCCTGATAAAGGAAGTGGAGGCAGCTGGGGAACGGATCCAGAGCGTCTATGGCCTCTTCTCAGCGCCAGCTGTGGTTGCAGGAACTGGCCACGCAACCACAGAATTTGAGGTCTTTGCGAGACACTCTTTGGTAAGTACACTGTGCACTGCAGCAGGTTAAAGACAGGACAAGCATGAGCCACCCTTCAGAAACTAAATGCTGGTCCTGTGTATGATTATATTTATGCTACACCACATCGTTAGCCATTGTTTAATTCAATTTGGACCCCCTTGTCTGACTGTACTGTATTGTTAAATCTTTCAGTTGGTCAGAAACATCACTGTGCTGACTAGATAAATCAGCTAAAATTAGTTTGGCTAGACTGGGAGACCAAGTACACCAGCTGAGACAATCTAAGACCTCTAAATTACCTGGTTTAAGCTGTCACCATTTCATGGTTTTTACAGCTTTTTAAATATTATATATATATATATATATATATATATATATATATATATATATATATATATATATATATATATATATATATATATATAAACCACAGATGTTTTCAGTCAGAAAGTGTGGACACTGCCATACTTTTGGGACTGGCTCTCTACATGCTCATACTTCATTGGCTTCTCAGGCATTCCTTATAAAATATTATAGAAAGAATTATAAATAATAAAACTTTCCAAATGAAAACAAGCCAGTGGCAACTCAAATGGGCTAATGAGCAAGCTAAAACCGCAGTGCAACTGAACACTAATGGTCTTCTTGTTTTGCAGCTGTCCTTCATTGTTCGCATTGTGCCAAGTCCTGACTGGTTTATTGGAGTAGACAGTCTGAACTTGTGCGAGGGCGACCACTGGAAAGAAAACATAAGCCTAGAGCTCTACCCCTATGATGCCGGCACAGACAGTGGTTTCACCTTCTCCTCGCCAAACTTTGAAACCATTCCTCAAGACAAGGTCACTCAGGTAATGTCTAAAAGACATATATTTATAACATTTGGTCAGGTCTTCCAACCTGACATAAAGTTTCCAAACCAGCAGACAAACCTGACTTGGAGACAAATCAACAGAAGGAAACTTTTAAAGGCTGCATTTAGTTACATCATTTCATCAGACCCAACCTACTTTGGAAACCATTCCCTGCTCAAGAGAGATGGAGAAAAAAAAAATTAGCTTTGTCTTCTAAAAAATCTGAAAACTCAGAGTACACTTAAAGAAATAAGGATACAAGATTTATCACAGACGTTCTACCTTTTTAAAAGGTAAACAATTGTACTGAAATTGTCAATATTGGTATCTTCAAGGTGCATTTTAGTACCTAACACTTACATATTAGCACCAAATAGTACAGATGTTTACTGTTTGTTACAAGGTACAATCCCACTAACAGCTTTCATACCTTTATATCTGATGTATTTGTTAGACCACCTAACCAATATTTTTTTAAGGTAGGCATGAAGATCTTGATAGGAATCTTGTTTACAGATACAGCTGAAGTCAGAATTATTAGCCCGCGTTTATTTTTTTCCCCAATTCATGTTTAACAAAGTTTTTTTTAAACCATTTCTAAACATACCAGTTTTAATAACTTATTTCTAATAACGGTTTTATTTTATCTTTGCCATGATGACAGTAAATAGCTTTTGACTAGATCTTTTTCAAGACACTTTTATACAGCTTAAAGTGTTTTTAAAGGCTTAACTAGGTTAACTAGGCAGGTTAGGGTAATTAGGCAAGTTATTGTATAACGATGGTTTGTTCTGTAGACAGTCGGGAAAAAATAGTTTAAAGGGGCTAATAAATTTTTATTTAAAATGGTGTTTAAAAAATTTAAAACTGCTTTTATTCTGGCCGAAATAAAACAAATAAGACTTTCTCCTGAAGAAAAAATATTATCAGATATACTGTGAAAATTTCCTTGCTCTGTTAAACATCATTTTGGAAAAATTAAAAAAAAAAAATTAATAAAATAAAAGGGGGGCTTATAATTTTGACTTCAACTGTATGTCTTTTTCTCAACAGATAACCTCATCATTCCCAAGCCACCCAGCAAACTCTTTCTACTATCCCAGATTGAAGCACCTCCCCCCAATTGCCAAAGTCTCTCTAACCAAGATCAAGAACAACCAGATCTTCAGCTTACCCATCCAGCCAACACAGTCCAATCAGATCCCAAGCGGGAATGAAATAGACGGGCCTCTTATAAGTAAGCATTGAGAATTGTTTGTGATGATTTGTGATATGAATGAGGTAATGCTCTTTCAAAGTCTCCCCATATACAACCCCTCACCCCCTGAAATATGAATCAAACTACATTTGAATTGTATATTCATATATTCCGTTTTCGAAGAAACTCTACAAATCCTTAGAGAGAAGTTGTGGTGACTGAATCACAGGCTGTAGAAAGGTTTATCCATTCCCATGGTAACCAACACAACAAACTGCAACAAGATAATGGAGGCCAACTCGTTTAAAAGTTTCTTGCCACTCAGCACTCAGGAAGTGTTTGTCATGGACGTGAAATGTGTGCTTTTATTCCATCCTTCTGTTTTCCTACTTGCACAAAGGTCCCTGTCTGTGATACATATCAACCTTTTACAAGGTCAGGAGGATTTCTGGAAAGCATCAGTGAATCGGGAGATCTCGTAGTCAAAATGAGAAGCAATTAGATCATAAGCATACAGTAAATTTAGCATAAAAATGATTTAGCATTTCAGCAACTTTCCATTTTGTTTCTTCAATGATTGGTGCTAGTTATCAGCCATTTTGTGAACATTGAATGTTTTGGAAGACCAATTCAATTGGTTTTTGTGCATCTGAGTGAATCCTGCATTATGCTTAATATATAACTTCTACTAACAATACATTTTGTTACAACTCTAACCGCTAGGGACTTCCAATCCAATTGATTAATAAAAAATAGAATAACAAGATATTCAAAAAAGAAAACATTGAATAACTTTTTCATTAAACTGGATTTGTTAGCCTTTTTAATGCAAAATTGATCGCCAAAATCAATTGACAAGTATCTGCTAAAGTTATGATACTAATCAACAGCTCTCTCTCTCTGTTTTTATCCACAGATACCCCTCTGGACTGCGAGGTGTCTGTGTGGTCACCTTGGGGTCTTTGTAAGGGTCAGTGTGGTGAGAAAGGGGTAAAACACAGAACCCGTTATATTCACATGCATCCTGCAAACAACGGTGCTCCCTGTCCATCCCTAGAGGAAAAGAGACTCTGTATCCCTGACAACTGTGTGTGAATGTAAATCAGATGAGCCTCATCCAAACGGAAGAATCTGCAGCTTTTAAATGAGACTTTTTTTAAAAGGGAATGACCAGATTCTTTAAGACTTTGATGGGTGATTTAACAAGCTGAAACAGTCTAGGCCACATATCTCAACTTTAAAAGGAAACTGAAGTATTCAAAGCAATGAAAAGACATTTAAGTTCATTGCATATAAAGGTAAAATATAGGGAACTGCAGATGTCATCAGCAAAAAAAAAAATTATAAAAAAAAAACCTTTAAAACAGCAGTGATAACAGGAGTTCAACTGATTTTGTTTTCACTTTCACACACTGTCCTCATACACTGTTCATGGAGTCTGATGCTCTCTGGTGGAAAAACTCACTGGTGTCATCATCACACTCAAAAGCTGAAACACATCTTTAGTTCAAACTACTCTGTTCTTGTCAATATGTTGCATAAGTGGATGAATTCTGTACAATAACTGCAAAACTGTATATAAGTTGTAAATACAAATAAATAAAATGTATTTCTTCTGAATGTTTGTGTCTGTGTGAAAAAAAAACATTGTCAACTCATCCACCTAAACCTACTTTGAAAGTTTTAACCTAATTTAGAAATACTCTCCTAATACTCTAAGAGTTGTTTAAATATAGTTGCAAAGTTATATTCGACAGAATATCAAAAAGAACCAGCAAAATGAAGTGTAACCAACTAAACATTGTTAGCTTGCGGATTAGCCTTATCATTCTTTTCCTTAACCTTGTTTAAACAGGACTTTGCAAACCGCAGCTGTAGTTTTCCCACACTAATTCTGCAGCGCATATACAGCTTTACTAGTTCCCATCTGTTAGTCTTATTTTAAGCTTTCCTACTTTAAAAATGAATTGTTTTACTGTAATGAATGGGAGTCTGACAGGACTGTTGCTAGCCAGTTTTGTTATTTTGGCTTCAGCTATGTATTTTGATTTAGGGGAACAAGAGGAAAAGTGCATCATCGAGGAGATTCCAGTGGACACACTGGTGACAGGTCAGTGAAGATGAATTGTGCTGTTATACAGTATTAGGTGTATTTATTCAATTATACGTGAATTGTGGGTTATTCTACAGTTATTTGATCTTAAATAGTTCCTGAAAATGTATCGCTGTAGGCTAGGATATTACAAATGATTTAAGTCAGTTTGATACATTCAGTTTAATAATAAAATAATACTTTTAATACACGTAAAAGTATTAATCTGTAGACATATTTAGGCTTTATATAACTTTCTTTGAAGACAAATGATTACTTTATGTATACATATCAAGATAAATTCTAAAGGTACATGTTGCATAATATCTAATACATCTGGAATATTCATACGTATCTGGACAACAGGAACCAGGTAACCTGAGGCCAGAGGAAATTCAGGGGATTTCAGACTCGTAATTTAAAAGTAACAATCTGAAAAGTGATTCTTTCCTTGTGATTTTTTTGTTCAGTTTTATTACGTTATTTAAATGTCTCTTTTGCTTTCATCTAAATTAAATTTATTTTATAAAGTATTTATTTTATAAAGTAGCTTAAATTGTGTTTTACACACTTTTTATTATACACCATTTTATGTTTCTTTTTCCACTTAACATTTATTTTATTTTAAGTAAAATAAGGAAAAAAAACAAAAAAAGGTTTTATGGTCTAGAACACAGTTACACCATAGCGGCATAATAATTCATTCATCCTAATATAGAACTAATATAAAACAATTGCAAAGAATTTTAAACTAAAAGTAACAGTTTATTGTGTGGTGTGTGATTTTAGACAGCAATTTAAGCTGAAATTGAAAACAAGAAACATTTACGAAATAATCTAAATAAAAGCTCTAAAAATAAAATTTAGGTAATATATGGTCAATATATCATTCCTCAATATTATAGCGTGATATAATTATAGGAGGATAAGTGACACATGTGGTGCCACTGTATCAACTTTTTATTCTGACACAATGAAAACAATAAAAAGAAAATTCTATGGTAACTGGGAGAGCTTAAATACACTGCAAGTTAAGAAACATATGCAATTAGAAAAGCACTAACAAATTGAGAAAGCATCTTCATTAATTTGACACATGCTAAGTCTCACAACACATGCAAATACCAGCCTGATCTCATGAGGAAACGTAACTATTTTTTGTTTTGTCAATTTAGTGGCTAATTCGTACGGGGTCAGTCTATAGACTGTAAAAGATTTGGACATAGTATCCGTGACATCACCCAAAAGTTTCTGAAGACAGCAAATGAAACTACAAGGGGCGTGGCCAACCGGCACCATTTTGTTCGCACTTCATCGCACCCACCGGAGGTAACCAACAAGGGCAAGGACAGGAGGCGGAGTGCGAGCGGAGCCACGGACGCCTGCTAGCATTCTGCTTAAATGGGCTTTTCTTTGGAAGAAAAGCTTAATACTTCATTAACTGCGACTCGTTTGTATTCTAACCACATGTGCTTGACTGTATACTATATCAATAAAGTGTTTAGTCTTTTAAAAGCACTGTTGTAACACACTGAGACACTAAGGGCTCTATTTTGACGGTCCATGCGCAGAGCGCAAAACGCAGGGCACAAACGATTTCAGGGCGTGTCAGGACGCGTTTTTGCTAATTTAAGGATGGGAAATCTGCCTTGTGCCACGTCGCATGTTCTAAAAGGGTTGAGTTTATTTTCTTAATGAGTTATAGGTGTGTTTTGAGAATAAACCAATTAAAATCTCATCTCCCATTCCCTTTAAGAGTCAGCTGCATCGCGCCAAGAGCGCATTCACTATTTAGAGGACGCAAAGTAAGTCTAAGTGGAAAAAATTAGCATTTCACAAGCAAACAGTTAACAGTTAACAGTTTTTTTAACAGAAAACTGTTAAACAGAGCATCTACTGCGTGAGAATGAGAGATAATGGATCACTTTTGCTGTTGGATAGGGAAACCTTTACGCACAGACATCAATTAGTCTATAAATAAATACTTTTGTTTGTTAAGCGCAAATATTTGTTTCAAAACTATTTCTAAATTCAGTTCTAATTTCCAGCAAACGAATAAATGAATAATAATAGCAAAATGTGCTCAAAAACCTGAGTTATATCCTAAAACACATGCAAATCTAAGCTTGTTTTTAATAAAACAAATATAAATACGGATATAATAAATAATACTGCTAATAATAATAACATTATACAAAAGCAAATTGTCATGAATGAACTGAAAAAGCCTCCCGAGATGAAGAAGACATAAAAGCAGTGATTTTTCATATTTGTAGGCTAGAAAATAATATGTTTTGTAATATTTTAATCCTTTATATTTATATTCTGTATCTATTCTTATTATATCCTATATATATTCTTAATATTTACATTTTTTCATATGTAAAGATATTTGCCTATTGCTCTCGATATTTGCCTATTGCTCTCTTGTGCGTATTAAGCAGTGCGTAAGCGAGGCGCAACTCTGCGCCAGAGTTTAGACCGGGTTAGTTTTGGTGTAATGAAAAATCTATTATAGATTCTCAAAATAGCAACGCGCCAGCGGTCCGCCTCAGAACGCCTTCCTTTTAGACCAGAACGCCTATGGGCTCAAAAATGAGCGCTAATGCATTTGCTATTTAAACAGCGTAGCGCAACGCCTCAAAACGACTCTTGCGCCAAGCTGAAACTACCAAAAGACTACTGCGCCACGCCTTGCGCCACACTGTGCCGGGTGTATGATAGGGCCCTAAGCGTTGTTCTTATGACATTTTTCTACAAGAGGAAAACGTGAATTACTTCCAAACACTGCAAATATAGTCTGTGTTAGTAAATGCAAGGCTATTTATGAAATCTAGGTAAAATAATGTATGATAACATTTCAGATGACCGTTTTATAGCCTACAGCTAATCAATCTGTCAAATTCTGGAGAGCAGACAAGTTCTAAAGAAATTATAAATTATCCTAAACAAAACAAATTAATTTATAGAGATGGTATAAGTAAATGATTTCACTCACCTAGGAAATGGAGACCATGTGAATAGTTTGTGGGCACAATTAGGTGCACACAGCATGTCATATTATCGGATAATTGTAGGAAATAATTCCAAAAGGCAATTGACTGTGTAAAGCTACATAAATCAAAACAAAAATACAATGTACAGTACATGCCGAGTTCAGCGAGGTGGCATAACGATGAGTAGCGAGACCTAGCTGTGTCTCAAGTGGATACGACCTTAACTATGCAGACTTAATATAAACGAAATGTAGGAGTTAAATTCATACAAAAATTTACACCCCCTCAGTTGTCATGAAGGGTACCCTATATGAACCAATATCTTTCTTTGTACCAGGCTGTAAACACCTTTTTTTTTTGCCGTAAAGTTGGCCATTTTAACAGTGGGCTCAATGGAAATCTGTTCTATTATGGAGCCAGGACAAGTGGAATTTGGTGAATTTCAGTATCAGTTACTTCCTTATTAGCTTCTCGAGGAAGAGTGGGAGGTTGCTGCTTGGTTCAGTCATACAAAAATGTAACATTTTAAAAAGTAGGTGTGCACTCAAATAAACAAATAGCAACTAAAATGCAAATAGTACTAAATTGTATGAATGAGATGGTACGAATTCATATGAATTAGCCACTAAATCAAAAAGTTACAAATTGCTGTGAGATCGTGTTTGCAAATACAAAAACACACTGCAAATAGCACAGACCACAATGGAAATTTGTTCGGTGACCTCAGATTGGTTGAACCTGGCTGCTTCCTGTTTAGAGTCAGCAGTGTTCCATTTTTCGTATATGGATTACTCAGCTGGATTTGGTTATTGACGATTTGACACGATCGAGGGCCATTTCGTTCTTAAAAACTCATTGAGAGTTGTTGTCAAAGCAACAGTTCTGATAGCCCAAACCGGCTCAGGAGCAGGCTTATATCATATAAACAGGTGTAGATTGGGTCATTTTAAGAAAAGGTAATGCTAAAAGTGTACAGAATTTTTTTGTTTGTTTTTCTAAAGGAATAATAATTTATGTAGTCATTTACGTTTAGACAGATAATATGCCGGTGATTTGTAGCTTCGCAAAAGTTTCAAAAACCTTCACCAATATCAAAATGCTTTAAAATTTTAACAGCCAGTAATTCCGTCGATTAAACCGCTCTAAATATAAAACTAAATAACTGCTAAATACTCTTAACACACAAGAAAGTGTAAAGCCTGCAGCCCAAAACAAAGGTGTTATTGCGTATCATATTTAACAAACGATTTACT